TACTTCTGTGCGCTCACGCTCATAGCCATTCTGCTGCACAAATGCAGAGTGCCATATTGGAGGCATTCAGCATTTGTGGTTCCAAAGAGCTTTTGATTAGCTTCACCAATCAAGCGTATTTTAATTCCCCCATCAAGCCGTATTCAGCTCAGTAGTAGCCTAGTGCAACACTGTCACAGACCCGGCTTCATCACTCTGAGCAAATCCTGAATAGACAGTAAATAATGATCAATGTAATATTGAGTCATCCAATTTTCTAACTGAGACTTCACATAACCACAAATTAAATGTTCATATTATGGTCAAATTTAACAAATCCCAACTGAATGAATTATATTTCTTTATAAGCATTACTTTTACATCAGAAGTCTGGTGGACTTTAAAGCAACCATCCCCAGCTATGTTGATATTTGCCTTCACAGGTAGATGTAAAATTGAAAAATGCCTTTTTTGTGAAAACAGAAAATAGCAGGAAAACATATGCACCTGTTTTAAAATCAGTCAAATAGAAAGCAAAGCCGTAAAATCTGTTTAGGCTTAAGCATGAATTCCTTAAAACATAGAAGCACAAGGTGAAGTTTCAAAGTGGTAGAGTAGCGTTTGGATTTGGTTACGGTAAGGGCAGGGCAGGTTGAAAAAAATAGGGATTCTATTTACCCACATTAACAATGTTTAGGATGGGTTATAAAATCAGAATCAGCTTAATTATATATAACATGCACAGAAATGCTTTAAAGCCCAAAGCATCACTAACACAGAACATGGTGAGTGCTCCTCTGTCTAAGAAACACTGACTTCCTCTCACAACTGCAGGATTGTATGATCATGCTGGCCCTCATGGTCATCTGCAGGGAAGTGAAGACTTCAAAAAGAGGTGCTGGATGAAGTGGCTCCTTTAAAAACACCCCTCTGTTATTTTGAGAATGGCACATTCCAATGATCCATGCCCATCTACTTAGGCAGGTGTATTTCAGCTACTCAGACTTTTGCCAGGAGAACGGTGAGCTGCGAGACACTCACAAGAACAGGGTTAGAACAGGGTTAGAACTTTACATTTAACGGTGGCTGAGAAGTGCAATCGAGAATTACAAAGTGTGAAACACATTTACAAAGCTAGAGACACATTTACATTTTATAAAACAAAATTAAATTTTATAAAACAAAATTAAATTTTATAAAAACTAAATTAAATTTTATAAAACTAAATTACATTAGCTAAAACACTTACGAGAACTGAAACAAATTCACAAGTCCCGAAACACTTTAACATTTGCCGAAAAACTTTAAAAACTAGAGAATCAAACTGGAAAGAGAATGTCCATCATACCAGAAGTGACGTGCAAGTGATTGACAAACTTAAGTTTGTTTTGGGAGATAGACCGCCGGTACCTATGGACAGCAGTGTGTTTATAGTCGTTAAACATGTTTTGTCCATTCTGTGGAAACAACCTGGGCCAAGTGACACGGTTTTGCTCATCACGAGATACGTTCTCATGCGCACGAGAAAGTTATCGGTTCGCCAAGTAGAAAGTGGAGCTGTGCCTTTTACACACCGCCTTCGCTGTGTTTACCTTCATTAGAACAGCTAAAGAGCGACTGCAGGCTGCTTCGTTTTAACCACACACACACACACACACACACACACACACACACCATGCGCCTTGGTTACCGGACATCTCCTTCATAAAAACGAAGCAGGCTGCAGTCACTCTTTAGCTGTTCTAATGAAGGTAAACACAGCGAAGGCGGTGCAAAGGCACAGCTCCACTTCCTACTTGGCGATCCGTTGCGCACGAGAACGTATGACGTGATGAGCAAAACCGTGTCACTTGGCCCAGGTTTCCAGTGTTTGGGTTTATTTTGGGGTGTTTAAAAAAATAAAAATAACATTTAATACGCCTGGTTGATTGTGCAGCTTGTAGTTACACCCCCGCATAAAGATTAAGGAAATATTCTCATTATCATTTATAAAAGAATAGAGCAGAAAATATTTGTATACTCAAGAAGGTTAGGAGGAGTCTTACAGAGCGAGACCTATGATTTTTCAGGACCAAAAAAAAAAGACTGTCCAATTTTGAACATTTGTGTAATGAAGGAGATTCAGTTTAATAGCTCCTCAGTCGAATTGCTAGGTACTTTAAGGATAAGTGTGTACAAAGATCAGATTTTTCATGCTAATAGGAGTCATTACCTGAGGGAGGACATTTCGCTGAAAAGATATTAAAATGAAGACTAAGCATTTTTACCTCTTTCTAAACTGAATGGACCATCACTAAAAAGGGTCAGACAAATTCAAAAACACAATTAAGCAAATTTTCAATTTGGTCTTTTCATAGTTTTTGTCATGAGCACAGATTTTGTTTAACTTTTTGCATTAGTTTTTGCGAATTCAACTTATTAACAACCATAAAAGCAACACAGTATAGCGGGAGAACTTTACTCTATCTGTGCCTACTCGGTTTGTAAAGCAGTCAAAGTCTGGAACAGAGTTTCTGACCCTTGGGATTTTGTAAAAACTTTTTACATGCTGCTTAAGAGTATATTTTGTCGATAACCAGCTTTTTAGCTCCAATGAAGGAAGGAAACATTTTCATTTGGAGACAATGTTTTTGTCCTGAATTGATCCCCTCGGGTATCAGGCCTCCAGACACTGCACGCTCCCACCCCCAAAAGTTCAACTAATTAAGTTGCTATATATTTGATTTAGGTTTGAGATGGTCAGGGTTATGATTATGGTTAGTGTTTGGGGGTCCCAATCCTGTTGAAGTGGGTGGATTTGTATTCAGCATGAGAGAAGTGATGTCTGGGAAGCTCAATTGAGGCCAAGAGAAGCTAATGAGCTCTTTCTCAGGGAGAAACTGCAGGCTGCCAGAAGATTTCCCTCTTGAATCCACACAGTTTGGACTACGACAAAATGCTTTTGTGGGCTTGGGATATTCTGACGGGGATACAGGATTTTGCATTGCACCTGCCTGTTCTGTCTAGGTTCATGTTGTGACCTATTCTCTGTTGTAGCTTTGCTTTGGTAAAGCCCCTGTCACACTGTCCCGAAATTGACACCAGATGGACACACGAATATGGAATTGTGAATTTCGCACGAGATGGCCCCGAACTTGGTCCACAGCCAAGCAACAGCCGAAGCAAGTACGATGCCCACAGAAGGCCACACGATGGCACCCGAACCACACACGAAAATATGGTCGTAGACTTTACTGATGATTTAGAATGTATCCAGACTCAACGTAAGAGCTTGTGCCTCTTCGGGGGGTGCTAACATGATTTAAACATACACTTTATTCTTTAATTTCTCCGTCTTTCTATGTAGATTAGAAGATATTACTTATCACCGTCATGTTGTTTCCATCGCAACAACAACTTCCTGTCAACAGCGTAAACTCGCCTTCAAAATAAAAGCATCTAAATAAAACAGGATAACCTAAATTACATTTAAGACATACAACTGCAACGAAAGTAACATAAACAATGTAATATCCTTTTCAGTTTCACAGAACACAAATTCGGTTTGTGTTCATCATCATAATTATTCTATATATATAATTTACACATGTGCCTGTAAACCGGAGGAGAACACTGGCATTTCTGACTTTTTTGACATGGAAATGGGAATAAAGCCGTTTTTCATACATAAAGCTTCAGTTACCTCTCTCTTTTGCATAGAGAGTTAGGGCAAACTTACACGGTGCTTAATGTGTGTATACTACAAACAGTTAGGTTTTTATT